TGAGGCCTAAGTCTTTCTTTCTTCCTTAGAAGGTTTCCTTTATCCACCTTGAGGACATTTTCCTCCTTCCTTGTGTCCTGCTCTGAAACATCCAAATAAAATGTCTCTCTCATATCTGGATGTGGTACACCCTATTCAAGTTTACCTCTCTGCTACCACATCCTTCTGGCAGTCAGATTCCCTCTTTGTCCTTCCCAAGGGAGCTCCCTGCTTCTCGTTCTTCTATTGCTAGGTGGATTAGACAGGTCAGAAGTTGGACATATGGCCTATAAATTATAAATGGTAATGTTCCTTCCTTTCCTGTTAAAGCTCACTCTACTAGATCTGTAGCTTTCTGGGCTTTTATGCATCAGACACCCGTTTCCCAGATTTGCATGCCCGCTGCCTGGTCTTCTCCTACATAGTTACATAGTATTTGGGGTTGAATAAAGACATACGTCCATCAAGTCCAACCCATATAGGTCCACGCATCATCTCATTCTTAGGGATACTGGTATCCCTGGATATTACGGTCCCTCAAGAAATTGTCCAAACGTTTCTTGAACAAATCTACACTCTTGGCTGAAATCACTGCCGCTGGCAGTGAGTTCCAGACCTTAACCGCTCTTACTGTAAAGAACCCTCTTCGCCCATTGTGCTGGAATTTTTTCCCCACCAACTTTAGGTGGTGGCCTCTAGTCTTTGTAATGGAGTTAATCTCAAACAGTTTGTTGCCAATGTTGCTGTCACCATTGAACATCTTGTACATGAAAATCATATCCCCCCTTAATCTCCTTAATTCCAGCGTAAACATGTTTAAGGTCAGAAGCCTTGTCTCATAGCTCTGGTCCTCCATTCCCCTAATTAGTTTTGTTGCCCTCCGCTGGACTCTCTCCAGTTCAAGGACATCCCTTCTCAGTACCGGCGACCAAAACTGGACCGCGTACTCCAGATGTGGCCGAACCAACGATCTATATATAGGCACAATTATAGACTTGTCCCTGCAATACATCCCCTTCTTAATACAGGACAAGACCCTGCTAGCTTTGTTTACCGCAGCTTGGCACTGCAAGCTACCATTCAGTTTGTGGTCTACAATGACCCCCAAATCTTTTTCTATTTCTGACTTCCCTAGCGGCATACCCATGATTGTATAGCCTATTTGTTTATTTTTATGTCCAAAGTACATTACTTTGCATTTATCGACATTAAACCTCATCTGCCATAGTATTGCCCACTCCCCTATTTTATCCAGGTCCTCCTGTAATGTTATATTGTCACGATCCCTTTCTAGTACCCTCCCTATTTTTGTATCGTCTGCAAACACGGAAACATGGCTATTCATTCCCTCCCTGATGTCATTAATGAATAGGTTGAACAGTTACTCTTCATACATTTATTAAGTTTTACATGGTGGATGTCCAGGCTTTTGCTGATGTCAGCTTACAGAGTAAGGTACTTTAGACAACACTGTGAACTCTGTGTTCCTTTCTTGGTCACACTGTGTCTTGTACTGTATGATAAAGAAAATAAGATTTTGACTTACCTGTAAAAATCCCTTTCATGGATCTCCCAATTGCTTGCTAAAAAACTGAGGCTTGCTGGAAGAGGGAGGGGTTATATGCCAGTATCTAATAACCTGAAGGTAGCATATAATCCGTGGTCTAAGACATTAAGGGCCCGTGTCCTGTGCTCTACTCCAAGAAAAGGATTTTACAGGTAAGAATAAAATCATAAATAAACGAAAGGTAAAAGTAAATCCAAATATTTTTCCTTTTAATAGTAAAAAACACAGTGCTTAATAGAGCTTTCTTACCACTGAAAGAAAGCTCTATTTGCCTCAAAAAAAGTATATAAAATTTGTTTGAGACAGTGTTGAATGACGAGTAATTGTCAGTCAAAAACAGGAGGGCCCTGGGTATAAAAGATTCAGATCTAATTAACCAATTTAGGTCCTGCAGCAGTGGCTTTCTTGAAATGTGGATAATAAGAGAATTTCCACATAGAAGTTGCCACACATAACAGTGCGGACAGTGGTTGCTCTCTAAGAGACAGCTCAGAGGTTTGGTAGGTACAGGACTCATGTATAACAATCATGTGCAGAGCTAAATAAATATATACAATTCAGTGAAATATGTGATATAACAATAAGATATATGAGTATATGCTTTAAAAATATATACAAACGAGCATATCAAAACATGAAAAGATGTGAACAAAGTGATAAAAACAAAGTCCAATGTGCATTAATTATAATCGTGCAAATAAATGCAGGGGATAAGCCACTAGATAGATCCAAACGAAGTTGCGCATAGACGTTACGTATGTAGGGCTGAGCATTTGACATCACTCTTCTCAGCTGAGCCGGATGGACAGGAGTCCCATTGCACCCATAGATTTGTACTGTGGTGTCCATTGGATATTTGTTGTATGCCTTTTGTCACCTGTGACATTGTGAGTACCTGCTGTTATTCAATAAATAGTATTTTTTGGACGATACACACTATATCCTCTTTATATTTGTCCCCCTTTGAAATTATGTTATTTGCGAGCTGAGGAGGTTATCTGGTCTTCAGTCATACGTGCTTCCTTCCCCTATAAAGAAGGGGAACACGCTTTAAGACCTGGTTCTGTGGGTCTATCTCCCCAGGTGAGCACTGTTCCAATTTTGCATTCACAAGGTGGAGGTGAAAGTCTGTCAGGATTCTGTGGCCACTGCTTACTTGGAAGTTTGGATCTATCTAGTGGTGGACATTAGACATGTGCGATTCGGTTCGTTCCGAAATTCGTTTTGGACGAATTTTCGGAAATTCGGAGATTCGGATGCATCCGAATTCCGAATTAAAGCTAAGCCGAATGCAAACGAATCCGAAATTCCCGATTTCCCGAAATTCGTTATTAAACGAATTTCGTTGCAGCAAAATGACATTAGGAAAAAAAAAATATACAACAGTTACCTTCTCCAACAGTTGTATGTTTAAAGTACAATAGCGTAGCGTAGAGGGTAGGGGACAGGTTTGCCATTGTTAAGGTCGCAGGTTCTAGTCCTGGCTAAGGTAGGGGGTAAAGATTTTTTTCTTTGCTTTTGAATTGACATTCTCCTATTGACCTAAATGTAATTTCTCATTTTGCTATTGGACGAATTCCGCAGCAAAATAATTTTTTTTTTTTTTTACAGTCTGCAGAAAATGAAAAAAAAAAAGCGTGAGGTTTCCCCCCAATTCATACCAGACCCTTTAGGTCTGGTAGGAATGTTAGGAGGGAACCCCAGTCCTAAAAAATGGGGGAAAAAACGTGGGGTCCCCCCTAACAGTCCTACCAGACCCTTGATCCGAGCACAAGCCCGGCAGGGCAGGAAAGGGGGGGGCGCGATCGAGCGCCCCCCCTCCCTGCGCCTTACCAGGCCACGTGCCCTCGGCATTGGGAGGGTGTCCCCGTGCCGATGGGGACAAGGGCCTCTTCCCCACAACCCTGACCCGGTGGTTGTGGGGGTCTGCGGGCAAGGGGGCTTATTTGCATCGGGGTACCCCTTTAAATAAGGGGGCACCCAGATGCCGCCCCCCCCCTTGTGAATGAGTAAGGGGTACTTGTACCCCTACCCATTCACTAAAGGGTTAAATCAAATAGTTAGTAAAAAGTCCAGACTTTTGACAAAATCCTTTAATTGAAAAAAAAACAAACAGTCAATTTTTGACTATTCCTTTAATAAAAAAATGAAAAAAAAAATGGCTCCATCGATGTAATCCAGAGTCAGGATCAGGATGCAGGACCCCCGCCGACCCGCCGAAATAAAAAAAGTCCCGCCGCAGACGACCACCCGAATCTGACGAAAACTAACAAAAATGACATTCAGTTTGAAAGTCAACAGATGGGCGGAGCGAGCTATGACGTCACGGCGCGCTCCGCCCATTTGACATCCTCAGCTGTCAACTGCTACATATTGCAGTCATATATATCAAATGCTTCTATGGTTAAAGTACAGAAGCTATAGAGTAGTGGTTAAAGCACAAGCTTGCCATTGCTAACGTCCCAGGTTCAAGTCCAGCCATGGGTAAATAAAGTTTTGTTTTGTTTTTTAATTGGCATTCTCCTAACATTCCTACCACACCTAAAGGGTCTGGTATGAATTGAGGGGGAACCTCAGGCTTTTTTTTTAACGTCACGGCTCCCTCCCAGCTGTCAACTGCTACATATTGCATTCATATATATCAAATGCTTCTATACTTAAAGTACAGAGGCTATAGTGTAGTGGTTAGAGGTACAGGCTGGCATTGTGAAGTTCACTGGTTCAAGTCCAGCCAAGGGAAAGTAACATTTTTTTTTTTTTCATAAACGAATTTCAGCTGGACTACCGCTAACGAATTTCGTCCGAAACTAATTTAATTTCGGACCCGAAAAACGAAACGAAACTAAACACATTTTTTTTTTTTTTTCAAAACTAAACTAAACGAATTTTTTGCTGGTGCACATGTCTAGTGGACATTTATTTGCACAATTATAATTGTTGCACATTGGACTTTGTTTTTATCACTTTGTTCACATCTTTTCATGTTTTGATATGCTCTGTTGTATATATTTTTAAAGCATATACTCATATAACGTATTGTTATATCACATATATTGCACTGAATTGTATATATTTATTTAGCTCAGCACATGATTGTTATACATGTTTTAGATATTTTTTATTTATCTTGAGTGCTTAGTAGCTCTTATTTTCACTTATTTACTAGCGCTGATCAAATATTGTTTTTATAGGTACAGGACTCAACAAGGTAGAACATAGTCCCATAACAATTTTACACCCAAACTCCCATGCTGCTATGCCACCACCCTCCAATAATCCCCACCTCCCAATTAAGACACCACACTCGAGATTGGAGTTAAAATGGCTGTAGCAGCCTTTTATTGCGTTAATGGGTTCTGTAGGTAATTTTAGGTATACTCCTTGTTTTTTTCACTTTGAACATTGTAAATTTTGCTAATTAAATTTGCTAATTATAATGTTTTTGGATATTCAGGTATTGCAGGGTTTGGATTACCTACACACGAAATGTAAAATCATCCATACAGATATTAAGCCAGAGAATATATTGATGTGTGTAGGGGAGGGGTACATCCGAAGATTGGCTGCAGAGGCTACTATGTGGCAGCAGTCTGGGGAACCTCCGCCCTCTGGATCCACCGGTGAGTAGTACATCTTTTACCTGCATCACATAATTCACTACACTTCAGCTTACTTCCTAGTTTGTTAACTTTGCAACCATGCCAACGCATCTCTCTCTAATCAGCCTCTACCATACTCACACAGGTTGCACTCCAGACATCTTTATCCCTGCACCAATACATAGACATTATTGTATCTTTTGAATACTGTCTGCCTAACACATTTTTCTTAGTGTTTTCTTAAATCCTGCTGTTCTTTTTCTTTTGTGGGGTTTTATCAGTCAGCTCTGCACCTCCTTCCCTCCAGAACTTGGTAAGTTAACAGGTTAAGCCCCCTTTAAAGGCTCACCATGTTTGACACAAACTGCACTACCTTTCTTTGGACACGTAGTTGCTTTGTGAAACCTCATTTATCAAACACAATTAAAAATTGTAAAAGAGTTTAGGCCTAAATGCAGTACATGCCTAATATTTACATGCATTTTAGGATAAATATCAGCTGTAAACCCCTGTCTTTTTTTTTGCGTATTCATCACTGTAGTAAGAGCTATTACATTAAAGAGCACATGAACATTTACAGTTTAGAGAGTTTCTGGGATGCATGTTGGTATATTTCACATTGCCTATGCTAGTCCTGATTCTATTCCCAATACACACATTTACCTGCAGAATCCTGTGATGTCACTTGACAAGGTAGAACATAGTCCCATAACAATTTTACACCCAAACTCCCATGCTGCTATGCCACCACCCTCCAATAATCCCCACCTCCCAATTAAGACACCACACTCAAGATTGGAGTTAAAATTTCAAGTGAAATTTCAAGTGAAACAGGGTGTGTATAAATAACACGTTTACTTATAACAAACAATATAAATATATCTCTAACTATATCTGAGGTCTGTGAAGGCACCTTTTTACTGAGATTGTCGGTCTCTGCAAACCACTTAAACACTGGTCCCTAGCCGCAACACACCGACTCAGGGACAAATATGAGAAAATGCAGAGACCTTGTAGAACTAAGACTTAGACCTCTTTACTGAAGAATCCTCCAAGGACTGCGCAAAATATCTGGCGGCTTCTACCCAATCTACCATTGGGCGGCTTCTGTGGCCGCACCAATACGAAAAGAGTGGGATGAAAATGGGGATGAAAATGGGATGGGATGCTCACCTCGTGTCCAGCCCTCACCTCACCTCGTGTCCAGCCCTCAGAAGGCAAGCGCGTAACACCTTACTAAATTGAAAACGTGAAAGGGACGCCCCATCTGCATGTATTAAAAAGGAGCCTAGAACCTGTGGGCGGACTGCCCTAAACTCCTCCACCGCTTGAACAGGACACACATGGGAAAAACAAACCCGGCCAAGCTCCACCCATCTCCCCTTCCCTCCTTGATCAGTCTTAGAACTACGTAGTAACATTTTTACCCCATATGATGTCACCACCACATCGTGGCCCAAGATACCCTGTTGCACCCGTTTAGAAGGGCTGACCAGCTCCCCTAAGCGAAAAGCTCCAAAAAAGGCTAGGATAAAGGCAACCCTAAATAGAAGCACCTCATAACGAGAGGAACAGTACTGCGGAAGCTGGGCCAACAGATCACAAAGAATAGCAAAGGTGATAGGACGCCGGCCGTCACGGCGCTTGTGCTCTTTTCTATAACCCTTCATCACCTGACGGACTAGAAAATCTTTTGTACAATCCCGATAACCTAATAGCTTAAAAAGGAAAGCCAAACCAGATAGCTTGCGCTGTAAAGAAGCAGCGGACGCACCCTGCGATAAATTACTGACAATAAAGTGAAGTACCATCTCAGTACTCACCTCAGAAACTGACCCCCCGGGAGTAACTCCCAGCCACTGGAACCATTGCAACCATACCTTGACATATGCCGACCAGGTAGATGGGCTCAGTGACTTACGAAGCAGTCCAGCGATGACTCCAATGGAAGCTTCCACAGATGACTGGGACAAGGAACCCCGCATTGCTCCGCATCCGGCTCCAACACTCGGAACTTGTCCCACTGAAAACGAGATATAGAGCAGCCCATCGGCAAACACTTGTCCACAAAGTATGAGCCCTGCCACTGGCAGCCTAACAAATAGAAACAATCAGGGTGAACAGGCAATATAATCCCCCTTCCAAATTTTCTCTCTAACTTTCTGTTTAAGGTGAGAACCCAAAGGATCCTCAAAACACACATATACCTCGCACCGCGCCGAGTCTGCTAGACGAATAGTATCTACTGATTTTTCTGTTGTTTTTGTGACAACCTGGGACTCCTTACCTGTAAGCTCCCGCGATGATGCGGCGTCTGCAGGGTCCACCGCAGTCCCAGTCTGAACAGCGGAGGAAACCGCCGCTGGCAGAGTCGCGGCTGGAACGGGTATAACGACCTCCGCCGTGGAGGTATGGGGCAACCGGCGTTGCCGGTAACGGTCCAGCTGCAAGTCTATTTAACACATCACGCAAGCTAAGCAATACATCCTGTATCCCCTGTGAACCACTAGACCCAGCAAGCCCAGGTTTTGAAACACCCCTGGCATTAACCGAAGCGACAGCTCCCAATGATGACACATCCTGCTGACCACCCCCCTGGTCCCGGGGCGCAAGACCCGCACGAACCCCATTAAACAATTCCCCCAAAGCAGTGTGTAGTGAAGAAGAAAGTAAAAGGTTCTCACCTGGGTGACTAGGAGCAGTCCCAACAGCCGTATGTCCAGCATCCTGAGTAGAGAGTTCCTGCATCTGTTCATCTTCGGAGGCAGACACCTCCCCCTCTGATCTGCAGACATCTGAAGGATCCCTGTGAAAGGAGCTGCTGGGCACACGTGAAACAGCTGCCGAAGGTCCGGCAAGGCTTCCTGTCAGAGAGGACCCCTCTCTGCTCCTTAGCGGTCTTCTGCGGTGCCCGTTCTGCAGAGCCACCGCAGGGGCAGACACTGCTGAAGGCATCCCTTGGTCATGTGTGGAAGAGCCCCTGGCCGCACCCCGGGACTGGCCAGTGCCCGCATCTGCACTAATCCCTCGCCAAGCTGCCTCACCGACAGGAGCATCGCCAGGTGAGGCAGCCGATTGCTCCTGTGAAGTGGATGGGGGGGAGAGGGTGTGAGGTGGCAGCTGAATGTGAACCCTCTCCCTGGGGCTCCGCCTGCGACGAGGATTCCTCCCAGGGGCACCATGCGGAAGCGCAGGTGGGCGCTTGGATGGTGGACCTGAAGGGTCCCTGGAGGGGCTCCTAACTCGGCGCTGAGCCCCACTGGATGCACCGTGTTCCGGCGAAAAACGCTCAGGAGGCCTGGACCTCCTAGCCCGTGTCGCCCGATGCTCGGTTGGTTGTTGGACGTCCTGCAGGATAGTAGCAACTTGATCCTGTAGCCAGTTTGGACCCTGCAATTGTGCAGCAGTTTTCAGTTGGTCCAATAACTGTTTTAAATCAGTCATGTTTCTGGTTGTCTTTCAAGAGGCAAAGCAGCTGCAGGGGTGAAGCTCGCTTGCCGTGTGGCAAATCCAGACTGAACCAGTACTACTCCACCCCCCTCCAGACCACTAAGGAGGCCCTCCTGCAACTCTTGAAACCGGCCAATCAGGTAAGTGACCATCCCCCCTTAACACTAACTTAACCCCGTACTTCCGAGTTCCCTGTCCACCCTGTCATGTAGTCCTTCCGCCTATTTTTCTTTTCTTTTGCTCCAGGACTATCT